TTGCTCCTTTTTTCCTGTCAAGCATCTATCTGCCATAGCTCTCCTCTGTCTTTGTTGATATGCTACTCTCAAGTAATACCTCTAATCTTTGGCACTTAAATATACATATGACCTATCTGTGTTGCAAGAGGTGTAATATTTTTACAAAGGCTAAAAGACAAATGTTCTCCATCATTATGATTCCCCTGTTGGTACCCCACAGACCATGAAGCGTGTGGCATTTGGCAAGCCACTGGCTGCTCAGGGAACCATCCAACAGGATGTGGCCAGGTCCAGAATCGAGATAGAGCAGTGTAGACTTCTGGTGCTGAAAGCTGCATACATGATGGATTTGTATGGCAACAAGGTGAGGGAGGTGGGGAGGGAGAGATAGATAGATAGATAGAGAGAGAGAGAGAGAGAGAGAGAGAGAGAGAGAGAGAGAGAGAGAGAGAAATAGAGAGAGAGAGGGAGAGGGAGAGGGAGAGAGAGAGAGAGAGAGAGAGAGAGTTTTCGTTTCTTTTATTATAAGTTGCACACGCTCAATGGAATCGAAATTCAAGAAAAAAATTGGATTTTTTGCAAATCAGAGTTTTGATTTTATCAGAGTTCTTGACAAGTCTGCTATGCTGTTGTTGCTGAAATTACGACAAATTGTTCACTGTGAAATCGGGTGCTAAACAAGAAATGATCTCCCAGTGAGTTTTATTACTTCCCTTCCAGGTTGCTCTCATAAAAGATTGATCTCTTGATCATAGAGATCTTGCTCACCATGAGATGAGTAAACATTTTTTGTTGATGTTCTCATTTGCCAGGTGGCTGCTCCAGAGATCGCTATGATCAAAGTTGCTGCTCCCAACATGGCTTTGTCTGTCATTGATCGGGCCATACAGGTAGGTTACCGTAGATACTTTGTTTTGTATGCAAGTTTCTCATTCCTGCAGCCTTTATTGTTTGTTACAGCCTTGATCATGTTGTATTTTCTGAGGGGCAGATTTTCCAAATAGATACAGAAATCTGTGTTTCTAAAATTATCTGGATATTGCACTGTATATAAGAAAATGATACCAGATGAATGAAACAATATGATCCGTAAATTTCAAGTCCTTGTACACAACTTTCACCAAGATCTGAAAAGTTCTGGAATTTTTTCATAGTCACGACGCGGTTGAATCAGGCGCGCGTCAATTTTTGGGCATGTGGAGTTTTTGGTATCATCTGAAAGCTGATTTATTTGCCTTGCTTCCAATGAAATAAATATCCATTTATATCTCAAGATATTTGCAACCGAAGAAAGTGAGGTTGCCTGGTTTCAGTGGTGAAATTAGCAAGAAAATGGCCACCGAAGTATGATAACTCCAATATCTAAAGAGTCTTTGAAAACTGAAAAATGACTTATTTTATGCCTTTATTCAATGTTTTTCAGCAAAATTCACATGGAAATGTGTTTTTATATGGGCATAAAAGAGGTTAAGCCAAAAAATAAAAATTCGGTAAAAATGTCGAAACTGGCGGAAAAATGCCTGTCTTCTCCGATTTCGTTATTTTGATGAGCGCCTCATTTCACCACGCTGCCTCACGTTTGGTCTTTCAAGAGTCACCAAAATATACCTTACAAAGTAATTCTGGCCTATAACCTGTCCCTTTTGTTTTTTGCCGTTTGTTTTGTAACTTTAGATAACCCTTATTAATAATAATAAATGCTTTTATATAGCGGATGTCCATGCTCTACAGCATGCACTGTGCATTTTACTGCCATTATTACCCTAGCAGACCCTAGAACAGTCAGAAACATTCTGGGCTTCCCGGAAAGCACAATATGTGTTAAAGTTGTAATATTCACATCCTGTATTCATTTTTGAGCTTAAAACCGTTTTCTTATTTGAAATTGGTTAATTTGGAACCAAGTTATTAAATGTGTTTTATTGGGTTAGACTAGGTCTATATTTTTCTTTTTGATGTTGATGTTATTTTAAAAATTTCTCTTGCTTTGTGCATTCTGTACTTTATTTTCCTGCCACCGACCTCATTATGTAAAAATCTACATTTATTTTGTTTGCCATACCTGTGGCTTCCACTGTGCTTGTTGCTGTATAGCACTTATAAAGGAAGAGTTTCATAGTGGGTGGTTGGTTGGTGCTCTGATGTGGTTTGCTCCTTCTAAGTTCTAACCTTAAATCTCTTCTCCTTCTTTTCTTTGTATGTTACTCTTTTGTAAAACCTCCAATCTTCGGCACTTATATGACCTATTTGTGTTGCAAGTGCTGTAAAACGCTTACCGAAGCTAAAAAGAAAAGCTTCATAGATATGTTGCGCATCGTTCTTGAGTGTGTTGTCACATGTTTGATGAAAGGTGATTTTAGGATGGTGTTGATTGAAATCTGTTGGAGAGGTCCTGAATAGCTTAAGTTCAGCTTGTTGCCTGGAGGAGGGACTTTTGTGACAGAAATCATGGGATCAAGCTTTGAAACTTAACCTTCTTGTGCCAATTGGTTCATATTTGAACCCCTACGCTTGGACATAATTGTCGTTATTTTGTTTAATTTTTTGTTTAATTTGCAGGTTGGGGTCCTGATATTAAATCAATAATGTAAACTCAGAAGTTTTCCTTTATAGTGCCTTTATATGACACCAGTGTAGTCAAAAGTTTTATGCATGTCCTTTTTCTTGTGTGCAGAAGAGGGTTAAAAAGTTTGTGTTTTGGTTCAACGAGTCCTATAGCCTCTGCCGTTATGTTGTACGTGATAGATTTGATATGAAACTGTTTCTGGCCTTTGTCAAGCATGTGTCGTTTAAACACGCTCATTAGTTTAGTTTAGTAAGAGCTTTACTGCACTTGCAATACTAACTGATCTTATAAGTGCCTAAGGTTAGATGTGTTATTAGATAATAACATACCAATAAAGGAAGGTGGAGAGATAAGGACAATAGGTGTTTGATTGATAGAATAGAACAAGCAAACGACATCAGAGCGCCTGCCAACCACCCACATGATCATTGGTTTTAGCCTGCCTGCTACATAAAGAAAGATGAAAATCAGCTGTAAAGTTGATCAATAATTGAAAAATAATAATTATTTTTCAATTATTGATCAACTTTACAGCTGATTTTTATCTTTCTTGGCTTCTTGTCAGCTTTTCCTGCTTTGCACATTGTTATAGTGGAACCTGCCCCAACAGCCACCTGTCTAAGATAACTACAGGAACAATTGACCACTTCCCACTTCCCCCTGTCTAAGACAATTGTCTGCACACATGGTCATTTCCCTCCTCCCTTGAGCCTTTTATTACATTATAACGACACTGTCCAAGATGTCCACCGGTCTAACCAATTTTCTTTTCAACAATGGGTGGCGGTCGTGAACAATTTCAGCTGAATATTTATTTGCATGTTACATGACCTGTTATTCCTGGGTACCTTCTGCATTGCTCTGAGAATATTAATCTTCTGATTTCATACTTAAAGGGCACAGTAGTTTGTAGAGAGACATGAAAATGCAAAACCTTAGGTGGGCAGTAGCAGTCCATCAGCAGGGTGAATAGATTGCAGGTTGGGAGCCTTTAACCACATTGTGCATAAGGAGAGGTAAAAAAAGCAGTCCTATAAATAAAGAAATTGTGGAATATCACTCTTCTTAACTTTTTATTTTCAACAAAAATTCTTTCGAGTGGTGAAAATAAACGGTCAAAAATGTCCCAAGACAGCCACCCATTGTGGAGGAGAAAAATCGTTGTTTTAGACAGGTGGACATCTTGGATAGTGAGATTATAGTACAGAAAAAATCATAAAGGGTGGTAGTTGAAAGTGGTTTCATGTGATTGTCTTGGACAGGTGGCCATTTGAGTAGGTTTGACTGTATAGAGTTCAAGTTTATCCCTTTGTTTGAATTGGGACAAAAGTTATTGACTCTCCTTCTAAATGAGATGAGTCTTTTGCAGGTCACCCTCACCACCTCCCTTTGCCCCTTTTTTTTGGTCCCCATCTTTACTCACTATCCCAGGAGGTGGTGCTAGTATCCAAATTACTATTGGGTGAGAGGCAAAGAAAATCTGCATGTTCTTTCCTCTTTAGTAAACCATACTCTGTCTTTATTGTGGACCGTTGAGGCACCATAGTAGATTTTGTAACTAGCTTCTTTTCACTCCTCTTGGTTTTCAGCTTTTTACAGTTGAAACAAAATTTAGACTTTGAGGCATTATGCTTTTCCTTCTATCTCTTGTGATTGCGTAGATTTCTTGGTCATGTTTTAACGTTTTGCACAGGCTCATGGAGGTGCAGGTGTAAACGACGACTTCCCACTCGCTGCAATGTACGCTGGGTCACGAGTATTACGATTGGCTGACGGCCCAGATGAAGTCCATCTGCGAAGTTTGGCTCGGTCTGTCTTTGTCCAGAACAGCAACCAGGCAAAGTTATAACATCGAGTATGCTGGCAATGGTCAATCTTTTTAGTGAAATGAAGTAACGAGTTTGATACAAGCTTTTTAAAATATATTTTCTCCTCATGATTTTCATTTTGTGATTATGCTCGTTCTTCCACATGGACTCTTTAATTTATCTTTAATTAGGTCTGGGCAGGTAATGGTACCCAGTACCGGAACTCCCTCTACTATTGTAGGTGGTGTCAGTACCGGCAACAGGCCTTTAGTACGCGCACTGGGAAGGTGCTGACATGAAGTGGTACTGGCTCTAGAAAGGTGCCGACACCTTAACACAGTGGGCGATGTGTCCGTGGAACAAAAGCCCCAAATACTGTGCAGTGTAGGGAAGCTGTGATGTCAGATGCACAGCACAAAGCCCGCGGTGACCTTGAGACATGGTACCAAGTTCAAAATTAACAACCAGTTAAAAATAAGATTATGTTTGTTAAAGTTTACATATCGCATCAAATCAGGCTCATCATGAACTACTTTGCTTATTTTGATACGCTGATTCCGAAAATGGAACCAGAATTTAGCTCAGATGTTTATTTTAAAATGTTTGCTCTCGAAGTTTAATCCTGCGCATAAGCAAATATTAAAGGGATTATGTGTCCTGGCTTGCCTCTCCCAAGTCTGATGTAGATCATGTTTCACAGCTTTTTTGAACCCCCTTGTCTGTCTCCCCCCCCCCCTCCAATTTAGAAAAAATATCAATCGTAGTACAATATGCTGGGGTTGGGGTACTGATGGATAAATGTAGCAGTCGAAACACTTGTCATGCAGAGCTTTTGACATCTACTCTCAGTCCCAGTGCCGGTACTATATGAGGTACTAGCGGTTTCTCGACACCTAGTGCTGGTTAAAATACTGGAACTCAATTTCGCAGGTACTGCCCAGCACTAAGAATAGGGTAAAAATATGGGGACTTCAACACTTACAGTGTATAATGATAATGCATGTGATATCTGGGCTTCAGTTGCTGTGGTATAATGCTCTTTCCTTGTGCTATGAACTTTTTCGTATTATAATAGTAATAGTGGCCATTGAACAGGGATTATTTGGTTTGGCTGTGTATGGTCTTGGTTTTCTAATCTATGATATCGCTTACATGTGCTCAAGAAATATTTTGTAAAAATTCAAATTTCAAATGTTGAAATGGGCAATAAAAGATTCACAATGTAAGCACAGTTGCTAGAAGTAGAAGAATGCAACAGTTGTTTTTTGGTCTCCCAATAAATTTTGCTTCTGGGACTGAGTGCATTTGACTGCTTGCCAATGATACTTTTGTTTGTAGACAAAGGAGGAAAATTTAAATGTTTTTTCTCATAGGTGCCAAGAGGTAGCGAAAATGAAAAACATTTATTTCTTCTGTTTGTTTGCATAGTTGTTTAAATACAAATTGTACCAAATAAATGATTTGTTTTGTTCGACCTCTTTCACATTAGAACGCTTACAGAATTATCGATGTCCCTGGATGCTTTTACCACTCGTCTTTCCAGCTTATTTACTCCCTGCTTGCTTTTTCTCTTTTGGCAATAGATGATGGGGGGTCATGTTTCATTTGATTCTATCTTACTGACAGATATGGTGACAAAGGTTCACTCTTTGTTTTTCTATTCCCCCCTTCCACTATAGTGACCATTCGTAGTTTCCTCATATTCTCCTTCTCTGTGTCCCTCCCCACCCTTTTCCCATCCTCACACGATGGATGAATGTAGACATAAACATACTTCCTCTTCTTCTCTCTCTCTTACCGTTTCACATTTCCCTCCCCCCGTCATTTTTCGAGCTCCTCTCTCCAGCCTGCCATTTCTCTCCCCTCATTCAATCATTCAGTTGTTTTTGTCTGTAGCCTAGTCTTAACGCTGCTGAGGTGGCAACTATAAGTGTTTGGTTGTGGGTTTGATTTCTGGTCCAGGTTGTCAGTTTTTTTCATGTCACCCAAGAAGGAATGATAGGTATATATATATATGTGAGGCAGTGTGGTGAAATCAGGTGTTCGTCAAAATAACGAAATCGGAGAAACAGGCATTTTTCCACCAAATTGGAAATTTGCGTTGAATTTTTTTTGGGCTTTACCTCTTTTACGTCCATATAAAAACACATCTCCATGTGAATTTTATTGAAAAACATTCATTAAAGCTACGAAATATTTCAGTTTTCAGACTCTTCAGCCATTGGAGTTACCAAATTTTGGCTGTCATTTTCTTGCTAATTTCACCACTGAAACCAGGCGACCTCGCTTCCTTCATTCGCAGATATCTTAAGTTCTATTCAAGATAAATGGATATTTATTTAATTGGAAGCAAGGCAAATAAATCAACCTTCTGATGATACCTAAAACTCCACATACCCAAAAATTGACGAGTGCCCTATTCTACCTCGTGACACATCATGTACTAGTACAAGGCAAAAACAGTGAAAGATTTTGTTAGATATATGTCAGTGTTTGACTTTAAGCACTTGAAAAATGTCAGCTTGCACTTTCTCTAAGAAGAGTGGTTGGGAAAGTAATTGGATCTGTCTGGATGATAATGAATTATAAAGAGTGTAGAGCCTACTTATGAGTAGGGACAAATGTCCTGTGTTTCTTTTTATTTTTGGTTTTGTCATTGCTATTGCGTTTATTTATATATTGCAATTATTATGGTATATTATCAATATTGTCTTGCATGCACATTGCGAAAACATCCGCTTTCAACTAATTTCATGTTGCTACGTGCTATAAGATGAAGAAAACATATGTGTAGGTTAAGAAAAAATTGGGGACCAGAAAATCTGTTCAATAGCTACTAGATCTAGATCTACTACATTACTTTTACTGGTACTGGTATTAAAACCCAGTCAGCTAACTAAATTCATTTTTCTTTTTTGAGATCAAGGCAGGGTCCAATGCCAATTAAAAATTTATTCCCCCAGGCTCACGGTGGAGCGGGAGTGAGTGATGATTTCCCACTGGCTTACCTCTACGCTGGGGTTCGAACCCTTCGCTTCGCAGATGGTCCTGATGAAGTTCACCAACGAGCAGTGGCCAGGATAGAGTATGCCAAAGTGGCAAAGGCCAAGTTATGAGCATTGATTGAATATCGGTAGGTCTACATCTGTTATAGTCTGTTCTGAATTTTATTTTTCGTTTTATCAAGAAAAATTCTTTTTTGTTTTCTTATATTCTTGACTTGTACGAATTTGTGTATAATCGAAATTTGTAAGTTTTGTCAAGCAAAATTATCTATTATTTTTGTATTCCTATAAGAACAACTCAATGGACTGGATTTATGAAAAGATACTGATGAGCAATGTTGCACCAATTAATTATTTTAGGCCCTAATTTGCAGTCTGCATGCCTCCGTGTGTGTTTCTGTTGTTCCGAATTGTACTGTAGAATGTTGAAGCAGCATGTGGGTAGCCTACTTTTTTTTGTTATTCAGATCCAGTATCTTGTTTCTTCAATTTTTCAACACTTGTAATACAATTTTCAGTGACACAATTTTGTAATGGATGAACCAGCCTTCTTGTTGTATTAGATCTACATTTATTCAAGTTTTCATTATAATGTATGTTATAGTGATGTTTCATTTAATTATTGTTTTTGTCTTTTTTCAAGCTTGTACATGTATACAGTATGTTTTGATACCCCTCTTTGGATATAAAATATACAATTGGGAGCCTCATGATGCAATCTTTCATAATTTTTTCAATCCTAGTTATTTGTAATCTCAAATCCAAAGTTGTTTGGCTTTATACTTTATGATAATTGGTCGCTTTTAAGGACAAGCGGGCTAACCCAGATTTAAGAAATCTTTACCTACACCAAAAGTGGGCATTGCCTTACCTTATAGAGGAGAAGTTTGGTTTCATTGATGTGTATATTTGTTTGGATATATAGAGAAAACTCTCCTTGCATTTTAAAGAAACTGAACAAGGGGCAAAAACTTTACCCCTCATATTTTCTCAAAACAGCATTTTTCGGGATAGTTGTGCTTAAAAGCGACCAATCCATTGACCTCTTATAGGGCTTTATTTAACGTTTAGTATTTTGTATTGGCATTTTCAAAGGAAAAAGTGGATTTCCGAGAAGGAAAGCATGCCGTTGGTCTGCCGGATATTGGTAATTATGTTTAGGCTCAATCTCCGAAGACCCCATGAGCTCCCAAGACGATTTGGATTTGAGATTAGAAATTGTCGAAACCCAATTTTTTTGTTTTATTTCATTTATTCTGATTTTGGCTGGGGGGGAGCTATTGAAACACCCTGTACAGTGGGAGTCGCATTCAACGAGAAGTCGACTCCAACAAGGCAATCCGTAATCCCCGATTTCTCCCTCTATATCTCTTTGTAAATGTACGTCAGCTCCAACGAGGTTTCAAACAGACCGAAGTCACTTTCAACAAGGTCGCGATAACCAAATAAAAGCAATTAGCGGCCCCAAAAATGAAGAATTTTCCTCCTTTCTCCCCATCTCACGTGAAGCACAAGGCCTATCCTCAATTCCTAACACATTGTAATGCTAGAGATCTAGTGTGCCTCCTAATATGGGTGCCAAAGCCAAGAGGATGGGCGGCGGTTAGCCTACGCTAGGGATGGGAGGGTGGGAACGTGATGCGGGCTGTGTGAAACTGGATGACCTCTGGATGGGTAGGTCCAGATCTAGATCAGGACATCCGTGTTCTTCAATTTTCTTTCCTTCCCATGATCAGAAAATCCTAGCTCCCGTCTTTACTTTAAGATGTAGATCTAGGCCTAGATGTGAGAGGGTATGTTTCCACTCGAGAAGTGTTCCGGAAAAAAATAAAATTTTTAAATGCAGAAATGACGGTCAGAACACATCTCAAACACGCGCGCACTGATGCTGTTTGAGATTTTCGTCACCCGCGGAACAACTGTTTTAATTACTGGTATTGGTACATCGTGTAATATATAATAACTTGTCTACTTTCTTTTCTTTAGCCTTAGTCACGTTCAACGAGAGGTCGGATTCAACGAGGACAACAAGCCGGTCCAGGCAACCTCGTTGAATGCGACACCCACTGAATGTTTTGTCCTGTCTAGAACAATAAACAGTGATTTTTAAAATTCAGATGGAGAGTACTGAAGTGATGACTGTTAGTTTGTTTTATTTTCTGAATGTAAGTATGACGGACGATATTCGAATTTTGCTCTGCACTATAAAACTTTGTAGCTGTTTATTTAGTTAAGAAGTGTTACCTCAGTCAGAGTCAGGATTCAATTAATTAGATTTTTAAAAAACACTTGTATTGTGGGTTCTGCTTTTACAATTGGTGCATGAAGAATTCTCTGTAGATAGTTAAATCCAGCTAAAGCTTTCCCCGAGGTTTTATGTACCCCACATAATTTAGCAAAATTTGATCATTTTTTTTGGGCACAATTTCCGATTATTTTCTTTATCATTCTTTGTTAAAATTAACAGAATTGCATAATTTCACATTTTTTAGCTCAGTTTGCATAATATCAGAATTTGTTTTGCTTAAAACCGTGGGGACAGCTAAAGGAAGCCTCACATATATGAGCCTGCGCCAGAGCCTCCAAAGCCTTAAAAAAACACTGCATGTGTGGCCGAAATTTCATGTTGTCAGAATCAGTGGAGAAATTCAGGCAGCGTCATATCGGCCTGGGGTTGAGTTAAGTGGTGGGGTCAAAAAAATTATCTAAAAAAACAAAACATGTGCATTTGATTTCAGATTTAAAAAAAAATACCCATCCTGAGCCGACTGCAAATTAATAAGACAAAATGGAGCTATCCCCAGTCGTGACTTGTGCATGTGTAGTCTACTAACAAATAATTCTGGGTGGAGGCTTGACACAAGGCACATTGATGGGCTGTCATCCATTGGCCCATGTCTCTGTGACCACCTGCTTTAGGATTCTATTTATGCTCATAAATTAAATGTTGCAAATGTATTATTACAATATATCTAAAAACATGGAGTCCACTTAAACCAAAACAATGGCCAACCAAACAAGCCAAACAAAATTCGGTGGTCACATAGACTAGGGTTTAAGTAAGTCGACTCCACATTCTATACTACAACACAACCATTTTTGCTTTTGCTCCAGTGTGGATAAGGAAAAAAATAACGATGAGAGAATTCGGGGGGGGGGGGGGGGGGGGGGTTTATGTCAAATCATGCACACAAGTTAATCATTCATGTTCAGAGAATTGTGAAGCCTCATGATATCAATATAGTGGAACATTTATTTTATAGGATTTCTCTTTTTATTTACAAGAAAAAGAATTATTATTACATTTTTGAGCAACATTATACAAGTGTATTCTATTAAAGTACGGAATAAAATATGACCTTTCACTTTCATGTGTCTAGGTTTTATTTTAACATTGCTGAATGTAAAATATGTTGACACAGACTTATTTAGATAATAAAAGAATGAAAATAACGGCTTTTGGGTTGTTGGTTTTCTTTTTTCATGTGTTTTTGCCATAGTTATCTATTTTGTGTGGAAAAAGTAATTGTGAAATTGTCAGTTCAGGGGTTCAAGGCTCAACTCAGTCCGACGATGTCTTGTTGAGAAAGGTGGGAAAGGCACTTTAGACGAATTTTCCCATTTGGAGATGGACGTTAAAATTTAGAGGTCTTTCCTTTTAAATAACCTTACAGTGTTGCAAGGAGCGTTGAACCTACAACAATTTCGCGCACACAGACAAATATAAAAGCATGCGCTTGTGTATATTTCTTCCAACACACACACTCTCACAAACATTCCCTCATACACTGTAACCAACAAATAGAAAAAAAACAAAACAAAGAGTGAACAATATTTCTTTATCAACAGAATTTGTGACAGCCAATTCTTATTCCTTGTGTACATCTTCAGAATTTCATTCAACATAATCTGCACGGAAATTGTGGGTTTCACTTTCTTGCCTCCTTGATCGTTCAACAGCAACCTTAATAAGGTATGCATTCGACGCTACAGTACTTCAATGAAGTTGAGAAGTGGAACTTGTGTCAAAACATCTTGCGATGAATAATACACATTGAATACTTGAGGACTTCACACCTTTATCTCAACAAAAACAGTAAAAAAGCATTTCGTCAGCCAGCCATTCAGGTGTACTAAACTAAAAATTTTGAAATAAAAAAAATAGCAGTTTTACAATCTGTGGTATCTATTGCACGTACTCAAGAAATAATTTGTTGGAATTCAGAGTATAAATTATGGAGAAAAAAAAAGCAAGAAAAGATACATAATATAGATAGTCTCTAAATGAATGAAACAGTTTTTCGTAACTTCTCTCCTGAAAAATGTTGCTTAGTAGGCTCAGAACATTTGAAAAATTTGCTGATGAATTTGAAGTTAAAGGACATCATGGCACAACTATTGAATCTGATAAGTAACGTCGAGCGCACATCCTATTAAACAGAGCGAGAACTATACAAAAACAGCATGCAGCAGTCACAGCAAAACAAAACAATCAGCACTTTTTCTCCCAGAATGCACATTTTTAGTTCCCGATGAAATGGTGCGGACTGTCATCAGATTTACTCTCCAGGGAGAAAGGTGGGATTTTGCAGTCAAAGCTGGTGCCGTCTCTCCTCTCCATCTTGTAAGTGCCCCTGCAATTGTTTTGAAAAAGAAAATGAGATCATGACAGGTAGACCAAAACTCTGCAGTAAAAGTAAGTATGATAACAAATGATAAATTACATTTATAGTGCATTTCCATAAATAAGGAAAGTGCTCAATACAATTTACAATAGCACAAAGAACATTGTTTCAATTGCGATCCTTTCACTCTCTTCTCATCTCTCCCCTTTTGAACAGCTTATGTGCAACATTCAGAGTCACAATGAAGATGAAGCTTGCCAGCTATATCCAACAGGAACAGGAAATTAACTCATTCGCTACGTATTATTTTCAGCTTGTGGACCAATTTTTTTCGGGAAGGTGAAATGAGATGATGACTAGTGCGCAGTTCAAAGGTCTTTGGGGCCATAAATTTGAATAAATAGTAACTTATTATACACCGAAATTTTCAATATGATTTGTAGAATACATCTGTAATGTTTATTTGTGTATTTTTCAACTTTGGTTCCTGTAAGAGGCAATTATGCAACACAATTTTGCTTGGATTCTGATAAAATTTGAAATTGAAAAATTCACCATATTCGGTGAAACTCAAAAAATATGTTTGCACCGAGTCAAATGATACATGAAAATAACCATAAATGAATATAAAACTGGAAAATATTGAAAAATTTGTATTTATTTATGTACACTCCATAAAATTTGCACATGTGGATCATGACATCCGACATTGAAAAAAAATTAAAATTTTTTTATAACTTGAAAAATGGACAAGATGCATTCACAAACAGAAAAAAACCCCACTCGTATCTTATATGGAATTATTCAGAATTGCATTTGGAATAAACCTACACATGTCTTGAGTGGTACTTTTTGTGTACTTAAAAAAAAAAATAGCGATTTTTTGGAGAAAAAATAATTTGACAATTTAGATCTAGATATATCTAGATCTAGATCTAGCACTGAAAAATATAGATTTCTCAATAACAGTGCTATGGCAACTTGAGCCCAATCGTATCAATAGTTTAAAGAAGAGTCCTACATTTCTTTAGTGTTGAAAATAATGATATATTTTGTTGTGAAAACGTAGTAAGACTGGTATCTGGGCTATAATTTGAGCATCGTGATAAAGCAAAGTCGAATAAACTTCGAAATTGTGTTTCGAAACTGAATCAAAACTTCCGATTTTCGTTCGAAACGCTTGACCCAGAAGTCAACATTATATTATAACCTTTATTTTAACATGGATATACGGATTGGAATAGAAACTAAGCTAAAATTGAACTTCGGTTCTCGAGCCGCCGGGGGCGGCTTAGCGTACTGACGCCACTTTAGCCGCGGCACTCGGCTCGGCGTAGTGAATGAGTTAAAGAGCCAAAACACAGGGCACAAATGTTCTTTATTTTAAATAGTCTATTCTAAATATTTTCTGCCACTGCAAACAATGGGACTCATTTTTCTGAGAAAATAAAAAGACAAAATTAACAAAGACCTTACAAAAGCTTTTTTTAAACTCCTCATGGTGGGTGGTTGGAGGGTGCTCTGGTATGGTTTGCTCCCTCATTCCTACCAAACATTTATCGTCCTTATCTCTCATCCTTTTTTTCTTGTAAGTTGTTAGGGGACTGCAGAGTCTCCTAGTGCTACCCACTGGGGGACTGTGCAGTCCTCTAGAGCTACTTTGTGCACTGGGGCACTGCAAAGAAACACACACACACACCCCAAGCAGTTGGCGATGAAACCAACCTCGCGTTGCCAAGTGACGTCAGCAAAGCGGGCCTGCCACGGCGTGGGACAAAAGCCCAAAGAAGGATTGCAATACCTTGGAAGTAGAGAATCTTTGGTAATACTAATACTAGGCCAAGATATCATAGACACAGACTGTACATTTTTTAACTGAAGAAGAGAAGACCTACCATGTAATGTAGTCTACAGTCTACGCCATAAGTACTACTAAATTTAGAATCTAGATCTAGATCTAGATAGATCCCAGATCAACAAGCCTGTCGACATGAATGATAAATTCGCCTTAAATGTTTGGCTCTAGATCTAGAATCTCCCACCATACTAATTAACTGAACTAGACCTAGATACGTATCAGTAGGATCTAGATCTACAATGTAAGAACTATTACAATAATTATAGTCTACGCTTATTCTACTGGATCACCAAACCTGTACCATACCCATTAACTTTTTCAAACAACGTAACTGCCAAAAACATCGCCAACAGTCAAATCAGACGTCATGTTGTCAATTTGTCATGGGAGGAAATTCAAATGTTGATGTCTGATGAAGGCTTGTTGACCTCGATCCAAAGGTCAAAGGTTGTTTCTTTGCAGTCCCCCAGTGCACAAAGCAGCGCTAGGGGACTGCACAGCCCCCCAGTGGGTAGAGTCAGTCCCCTAACAACTTCTCTTTTTCTTTGAGTTTGAGTATGTTACTCTCTAGTGATACTTCTGATCTTTGGCACTTACATGACCTATTTGAGTTGCAAGAATTGTAAAACTCTTGGCAAAACTAAACTCGAGACACAATGTGCAGTAAACATTAACTGTGCTACAGAAACACTTCTATAAAAGGAGTATCATGTCAGCAGCTTCTTAAAGCTAGACCCTATCATGGAACCAAGACATTGTGCTCTGTTATACTGAAATAATATTAATAGTAATAATAATCACATTTGTCCACACCCTACAGAATGCTCTATGTGTTTTACGACTATTATTACCCCAGCAAATGCTAGAAACTGACTCAGAAACATACTCTGTTATCCAAGAAGTGTACAGCGCTAGCAGAAAATTACATGCGTTACAACACCAGCAAACTGACAAGTCTTTTTATACAGTTGAATACCCATTCCCACCTGGTTGAAGAGAGGAAAATTCATGTATAATCTCAAGGACACAATGTCAGGCCCCTGACTGGATTCAAATCCATGACCTCACGGCTAGGAATGGGATAGCTAAACATAACCATCGACGCAAGTGTAGACAGAAAAAAAGAAACCTACCACATATGTCCACTTGGCGCCTGCAGAGACACATGGCTGCTGTATTGAAAGGCTGGCTGGTCTGTAGAGAGCAGAGGTTCCTGAAACAGAGAACACAAGCGTTTCGTTTCACAAAGATCAAAGACTGTACACAAAATAAGTAATTTTAAGGCGCTAAAGCAAAGAATTCTTTATCTTGCAGAAAAATGTGATATGCTGCAAGAATGAGCACAGACTAACATACCGAAGTTAATCATTTCTCAAGGGCAGGACGACCAAAGTTTGGTGGTCCATATACTTAAAAAAAAAAAAAAGTAGGAATTATAATCAATAAATATTAGAATGTACCATGGGTACAAAACTAGTCCTGCAAAAGAACAAAAAAACCCGAAAAAATCAGCCTAGAAAGACTTCCTAAGTAAGATTTCACTATGTCATAACAAAGAAAGTGTTGGATTGAAATTGACAGGGTAACAGGGTAAGAGATCAAGGGGAAGGCCACATGGAACCTGGAGAAGAGTCATAGAGAATGATGTACAGAAGATTGGGAAGACATAAATCAATATCGAGAGGCTAGCCCACCACGTGTTTGTTCATGGACTATACCCTGATCCACGCTGAAAAAGGAAATGAAGATGATTTCACAACTTTAGATGTGTCATGCTTTCACTGATAAATTTTAGATCATGTGGGAGGTGGGCTGCTTCCATGAACCCTGTTTGACATGGCCAACCTATGCTGTATAAGATACAATATCTCAGCAGACAGATGGAGACATTTGATTAAAAAAACCCAACCAAACAACAACCAACTTGGGAATCTAACTACTAGCTTCTGAGTGAAATGGATAAGAGTTTAACAGCTACACCACAGACAGTGTCCTTACTCCTGAATCTGCACAAAAAAAGTAGATTAACTCTTTCAGGACGCAAGGGATTTAACATTTTTTACACACTTGAATTTTAAGCGGAGAAGGGTCAGGGATGATACTCAAATTTTTTTTAAATAGCTAAAAATCCACGCGCCACGGTCTCGCTAACATATGAATATCAATTTGAAACCCAAAAGGGGTACATAGAGAGAAATGATAAACAAACATAAGCAATGGTTGTATATAGAGAGAAAAGACAAACAAAACAAAAACAATGGGGGTACATTTATTATTTTTTTCCAACTATAAATTCTATCTCGATCTCAATAACGGAACAGCGGATCAGGATCAAAATACTGGAAAAAAAGCGGAAAAGTGGCATCCCTGAAAGGGTGTTGCATTAAAACAGTTATATAATTCAGTCAAATAGGGATGGATTTGTTTGTGAGAGCACTCAAAATACTTGTACATGGACAGAGAATCACACTATGGGTGAAAATAGGTATATATAGCACAGGGCTTGGTGTAGGTCTTGGGATTTTGACAAAATCAGTACCCCTAAAATGCCGCTTACGTGGCGATCTGCTAAAACGCTAAACCAAGAATGGCCACTTAGAAGGCCATCCGCTACAACAAGGGAACAAAGAGTTGATGTACCTGTCCAACCACCCCACGCCCCCGGACCGTCTCGAGAGTTCCTGATAAGCTGAAAATCCTCCAATGTCTTTCCCTCAACCTCACAGGCTCCTCCCCTTGGTTCTCCAGCCGTACACAGTAACGCCACTGTGGAAATAATGATAACTCATTCATTTGTTTACTTTGTGCAGGAGTAGAGAAGCACATCTACACACTGACACACACATAGTGTGAGGAAAAAGCAAGACAGACACACAGAAACAGCACAGGGCAGAAAAGAAGTAGGCCATTCAAATGGTGCCCTCAAACCACCTGTTTGAGTCATTTATATCAATATTTTCCACAACATATAGACAATAGAAAAAAAATATGTGACAGAGAACACATAGTGTAATGAAACAAATGTTGCTAGAATTTAATCCAGAGTACCAGATGAAAAAGGGCTCCGTTTGAGTTAAAAAAGGTTCACCGACACAAATAACAGTCATTGAACTCTTAGTATATGGTGCGCCAGTTTAGCTAGCGCATAGCACTACTCCGTGTTTTCAGTCAAAACAAAACCTACAAAGAAAATTTACACCAGATCCAAATCTCACTCGAGTCCATAGTCAGCTAAGCCAGGCACAGGAAAACTACAGCCTGCGGGACAGATCCGTCTCATGAGCAATTTCTGGTCAACCCAGTTATTAATAATGAATGTGGCCCGCAGTACGTTGATTTTAATAATAAAAACAGAACTGTCTAGAAAATGAAAATCAATGATTTCTAGCCAAGATGAAGAAAGCAACAGATCTAATATTTCATTTCATAAAACACCCTTGAGTGCCTTATGTCACAATGTCAGTTTTAATCTCACTTTTCAGAACTTGGGTATTTTGACAGATTTTCAAATATATTTCCTGATTACTTCCCATTTCCCCTGCTTTGGCCAACAAGACATTCAGAGTTACTTAACTCATTCGCTACGCCGAGCCGTGGGGGGCGGCGCGGCTAGAGTGCCGTCAGTACGCAAAGCCGCCCCCGGCGGCTCGAGAACCGACGTTCAATTTTAGCTTGGTTTCTATTCCAATCCACATAATATCCATGTTAAAATAAAGGTCATAATATAAAGTTGACTTCCGGGTCAAGCGTTTCCACCGAAAATCGGAAGTTTTGATTCAGTTTTGAAACACGATTTCGAAGTTTATGCGACATTGTTTTATCGCGAAGCCCAAATTATAGCCAGACACCAGTCTTTGTACTTTTACACAACAAAATGTATCATTATTTTGCTCACTAAAGAAGTGTAGGACTCTTCTTATAATATTGATACTACTGGACTCAAATTGCCAGTGCACTGTAATTGAGAAATCAATATTTTTGAGTGCTAGATCTAGGCCTAGATCTAAATAGTCAAAATATTTTTTTCTCCCCAAAATCACTACTTTTTGGTGAATTTACTCAAAAAGTACCATCCAAGACATGTATAGGTTTATTCCAAATGCAATTCTGAATAATTCCATATAAGATACGAGTGTTTTTTTTTTCTGTTTGGGATCCTTTTTTCAAAATTATTAAAATTTTTTTTTTTTTTCAATATCGGAGGTTATGATCCAAATGTACAAATATTATGGAATGTATGTAAATAACTGCTCATTTTTCAATATTTTCCTGTTCTATATACAGTTATGGTTATTTTGATGTATAATTTGACTAGGTGCAAACATATTTTTTGAGTTTCAACTGAGATTATAAGTTTTTTGTTTTCAAATTTTATCCGCAGCCAATCACAATTGTGTTGCATAATCGCCTCTTACAGGAACCAAAGTTGAAAAATACTCAAATAAACAATACAGATGTATTCTACAAACCATACTGAAAATGCTGGTATATAATATGTTGATATTTATTTGAATTTATGGCCCCCAAGACCTGTGAACTGCGCTCTAGTCATCATCTCATTTCGCCCTCCCGAAAAAAATTCGTCCACAAGCCGAAAATAATACGTAGCGAATGAGTTAATCTGGCTCTTAACTAGGAAATTGTCCGTGTCTGAATTAGGCCGTTGAAGCTTGTCACTAAAGTCGAATCAACAAACAATAACTCACCCAGTAGACGTGAGTCTGTTGAGCCTCCTGAAAAGTACAAAAGAAAAATGCACTCACAAAATAATATCCAGAGCAAATGTAAAACAAGATTTAATTATAACATATAAAAAAAAAGAAGAGAGAAACACCAGTAGAGTCTAGCTTTTTTCATTACACAAAGATCAACATCATTTTTATGTGAATAAGCAAAGAGTAGCCAAAATCAAAAGTTTCAGATACCGTGCTTTTTAAAATTTTTTATAGTATAGCCAATTTTACAAGAAAATTACATCACTGGAAGATTAGGTAACACTTTTGAGGACAGCCCTGTTCATAAATATATTACATAGATTCTCACTTGAGACATATAAAGCAAAATCGTTATTTCTATTTGTCTTTATAAACCATCAAAAATATTAAGCCCCGGTTATATGCAACAATAAATAGTATCGTATCAGATTCGTCGTATGAGAGAACTGTCCGTTATATCGAACTGTGTTGTCTGTTTACATGTTTCAATCTATCGTCCAGTTTTCTATCGAATGAGGAGATCATAAAGCCACCATGTCTCTTTACGAGACAGCGATTTGCCTGCTCTCTATTATATGTGAAGGTTTCGAGCTCAGGACCTAATGAATGAAAGGTGAACACTATACCTCTAGATCACGAGAGGGCTACCCCCCCCCCCCCCCCTCCCCTTTTTGATATAGATCTAGATCTAGCAGAACAGTGTCTTTAGAAAAGGTTGGCCATACTGCACCATGTTGTGTGTAGATCTACACCAGACACTTTGACTTGACTGCTGATGTACAAAGCACCGTGTGACCTTGATGCACAGCATCGCCATTGACGATCAACTAAATAATAAAATTGCTAAAATATACATAATAATGCATCAAATCAGGTTACGCGCGAGCAATTTTGCTTAATTTGATTCCGAATATGAAATCAATTTTTACCTACGATAATTATTTTACAAATTTTGAGCCGCGAGTTTAATCCTGCACGGCGGCGGCAAACTTCAAAGCGAATCTACGTCAATCTAGATATCTTGCCTATATAAAAACGAATCTTGCTTTGAGCCTGAGAAAAGGCCTAGAACCAGAATATCCACTGTCAAGAACCAGTTTGGGGGTAAAAGTTTATATAATAAACGTGAAAGACAAAAATTATTGCTTTAACTCAAAGTAGAGTAATAACATGAACGGCTCAAGTAGACCTATTCAGTGTAAGAGGTGTAAGAACTGTGGGAAGGCAAGATGCAGTGACACTGAAAATCTGCAAATCTTGACCAGAAAGCTAAAATATAGAATATACAATACATATAATTTACTATCACCTACCCAATGAAACGGGAACCCTTTAGTCACAAAAACACGGCTTACAAGGTTTGAGTATGACAGATCCCGATTCCACACAAGGCCTGCACCAACGTGCGCTTTGCAGAGCTCTAGATAGTAGTAATAAAAATTCTGAAAAGTAAAATCTGCTTCCAAGTTCAGTCTTTGTCATCCGGTGTTGCCTTCAACCCCGCCCCCCCCTCCCCCCGTGCATCTTTAAAAAAAAATCAATAATCCCCCCATTCCTGAGTCCTATACTTCGTAGCGCTCATGAACTTTGGTGACCTCAACCATCGCCGATACTCACGATGTGACGAAAACGCACAGGTTCAATGACCGGTCACGATGGCGAGCCCGACAAGAAGCTTTCTTTTTCTTTCTGTTTTTTTCACAAGTGACAGCACAGGACAAACAAATTATTTTCATGGCGACACAGCGTTTGTAATGCAGAACCTGCATGTTAAAAATGTGGCGCTATCAGACAATACTATTACTATGGGCCATAGGCCCTACCGGCAAATTTCTGGGTGGTAACGAAAGCGAAAGTAGATCTTGATTTTCCAGATGAAGCTTCGTTATCGCACATACACTTGCCCTTGTTGCCGCCATAACCGCATGTGCGCGTTTAACGTACTATCAGGCCGGGAAAGGCCGAATTAATATTATATCACAATCGCGACCCGCTAAAATGAAATCAAGGATGTTATCGGATTTGGTTTTCAATTATTCGAGAACGTTTGTTTATTTTCCTGGGTCTTTCACGGGGCAATTTACAGATGTCTTCAAATTCCCGTTGCATTCCAGGTCTCTGCGATTTTTTTCAAATTCCTGGGTAATTCCAGGGGCCCCCGGGATTCCCGGGGCCTGGCAATCACCCTGTGTTCCCCTCCGATCGGGCAAAATTCAAGTAGTTTTCAAGGAGATTTTTTCCTTGAATGCAAATTCAAGCAGTTTTCAAGGACTCCTTGAATTCAAGGAGGCCGCGGGAACCCTCTTTCTAGCTTATTTTACCTCTGAAACCTGGGGAACCCCACCTACTTCAATTGCAAATATGTCAACTTCTATTCAAGATAGATGGGTATTTTTTTTTCGTCGAAAGCAAAGCAAATGAATAAGCTTTCAGATTATACCAATAACTCCATATGCCAAAAAAATTGACAAGTGCCTGATTCCACCCTATCGTGACACCTATGACCATGAGTACAGCCGCTGACCTCGAGAACGCATTGACCCAAATGTCACAACCACCATTAATAATTAACCCATTTTTTGCAGACAAAGCCATTTGGATGCAATTAATTTGTAACCAAATTTTACGTTCCGTAAAAATTCCTTTTACTGGGGGTTGGAACGATAAACATTGTAGCGGCATGTTATTTATCATTGGAAAAGTAATTGAATGTCGATGTTCACTTATGTTACAATAGCAATAGAATGAAAATAACGAATAAGCTGTGGACCCCGTTAAAATTGCAGATATATCAGGGATATGTCCAAATGAGTTCCCCAGAAGCTATTACTATATCGCCCATGCGCCTGATAAGAGTTAACACTTTGCAGTCAAATAGCCAGTTGTACAAAACACCCCATCTGGTCATTCAGCCAGGAGAGTGACTGCAACAGACTTCTCTGGCCGGGTGCAGTTCAACTGCTCCAGGTGACCAGAACAGATAATTTTCACCGTTGCATTATAACGCCAAATGACCGCAAAGTGTTAAAGGAGTTAATAAAATAGGGCTCTGTCTTACCCGACAGCCCATGTAGAATGGAATCACTGTGACCCGTATTCCCTCAGTTGTCTCCCTGTGAACATCAGAAAGCTGCAGCCACGGGTGGTTCTTCTCCTGCCATGCCCGCAACGTCTCACGAGCAATGAACGGTGGATCTGGGATTGTTGTAAAATATTTTGTATTTTAGATACGAATTAACATTTAAATCAGTGCCAGGTATGACATCGACAGAAATGTACAATGATTTTCGAAGGCATTTTATTTGCGTGGTGAGAACCATCGTGTAGAGTCAAATTTTTTACTGTCTTGAACCAGGGGCGCACAATGATGCAGTTGAAGTCACAATATTGTACATTTGTAATTAATGTTTATTAATTTGTAGTTTGATTTGTAAGACATTGCCTATATGATGCAAGGAGGTGAGCAATATAAAAGCAAAAATTGTTCTAAAAGAAACGAATGAAACACCCATACCAGAATTCATGGTGACATTGACAAATAAGTATGTAAATAGCTGTAGACCTAGTTCAAGTTAAAGGGAGTGATATTTCTTGTATACATGAAAATGATGAAAAATGAAAAGGAAAAAAAAAATGTGTTAGCAGATAGAATACAGAACTGATATTAAATAAACCATCCTATGATTATGTGAGGGAAAATAGAACAAGATATATAGAGCAGCAGCAGAGAGAAAAGTAGGTAAAGGAGTAAGAGGAAGAGGGGAAGAAGAGAAGATGTTTCAACCACAATGTTATCAAACCCACAGACTTGTTTCATACTCACTGTTTTCTGGTTCATTAACAAGAAATTTGTCGAAGAGTTCATGTTGTATAGGGCCAGGATCAGGGCTGTTGTAAGGCAGCACATCTTCATGTGCAACATAGTCTAGACCTGAACAGACAGTCAGAGACATCTATATCAGTTCAGGCAACACAGAGCAAGATATAAACATATACAAGATAGCCAACAGAAACTGAAATCTGTGGCACCCAGGGAATTTCTTTGACCCAGTCCAGTTTTCAGTTTAGAGAGGTTGTTCTCATGTTAGGAAGTAAAAAATAAAGGGGGGGGGATTGATTTTACTTTTTAAAAAAATTACCACTCTCTTCCGGTTGACCATGTTCTGTTTTAGTGGACTCCCCTGTGCTTAATATTGCATTGCATCATGCAATCTGAGAGTTATGGGACACTGCCCCCCCCCCCCAACATTTGACTTGTATATGTGTCATGACGCAGTGGAATCAGACACTCGTCAATTTTTGGGTATATGATGGAGTTTTTGAATCAGCTTAAAGCTTGTTCATTTGCGTTTTTTTGGATGGAAAAAATACCAATCTATCTTGAAGAGAAGTTGAGATATTTGCAATTGAAGGACGTGGGGGTCCCTGGTTTCTGAAATAAAATTAGCGAGAAAATGGCCGCCAAAATTCGATGACTTGCAAAGCTTGAGAGTCCATGGAATTTGAAATTTCTGTGCCTTTAATCAGTGTTTTTCAGAAAACCCACCCAGAAATAGGTTTTTAAACGGACATAAAAAGTGTTGAGCCAAAAAATAAAAATTAGAGAAAAAATTCCAAACTGGCAGAAAAATGCCAGTTGATTCGATTTCAGTATTTTGAAAAACACCTGATTTCACCACAATGCCTCACATATATTATAGTGACTCTGTCCAAGACATCCATCTGTCTATGACTACCATTTATATTTTGCAAACAACGGGTGGTTGTCTTGGACAATTTCGACTCTATTATATACGATGTATATGAAACAAAATACAAAATAAATATCAGTTCTGAGAGGCATTTAATTTTAATCACACTATCTGAATGAATGAAAGGCAAAGTAAGAGCATTCTGGCAAGACTGCTGCAGTAAACTTTTGTTCTTGGAAAGTCAGGCCTATACGTTCAAAAAGACCCATCATCAATCTGAGATGTACATCAAAATTCCTTGCTACTAGAAACCAGGGTCAATATTAACCCCAAAGCCTTAAAAGAAAACAATCACAACACACACTGAGTCCCAGAGATCCTTTCTACAACTAACTTGATAAAGTCACATACCTGGAATAGCATACAACGCTCGACTGTTATCCTGATTGCCAAGAAAGGTCACAGCTTCTGTTTGAGCTCTCTGGTCGATTGCAAAAAAAAAGTGTAGGGTGAAAATCCTTTTGTGAAAGTTTACAATGCCAGCAAAACTTTAATAGATTGCAAAAAAGAAAAATATAGAGGGTGAAAATCTTTTTGTCAAGTTTACAATGCAAGCCTAATTAGTTAGGGAAAAAGAAAGAACAAATATCTTTATTAGAAAGTATACAATGCCAGCATGACCTTTGATTTTTAAAACAAATGACAGGAGAGAAAGTTTTTCAGAAAGTTTACAATGCCAGTAGAACTCACTGATAGAAATTCCGGAACTCTGCAGAGCAAACTTCAAGTATAAGCATCAAAGCAGAGGACCAGCAATGACACAATACAGTGCAAGGAGTATCCCATGCTGCCCCAATCCTACCAAAGTTGATATAAACAACAACTGTTACTAAACTTTGTCAGGTGATTTAAAAGTGTGCTTTTCAGAGAAAAGTCTGAACTTACATGACAGTTACAATGTGTGGACAGTACCTAAGTGGTAGGTAATTTAAAAGCATTCTTTTCAGAAAAAGTCTAAACTCAAAATGAGGGGGCAGTACTTGACTATTTTTACATGTGTGTTTTTCTATAAAAGTCTTAACTTGAAAGACACTTACTATGTGTGGGCAGTCCCTGGCATCTATCAACACTTGGTAGTACATGTGGTGTCTACCTTTTACTTCCTTCCCAACAGCAGATGTCTGATCATCAAAAGACCTACTAAAAAGAGTACAAATATAGAGCAGGCATTATTATACAGTGAAATCTTGAAGATTAACATTCAACAAAAATCATTATCATTAGCTGGAGAAGCAAACCAAACTTTGGAACACATCATCAAACGTCGTAAGGCACACAGAGCCCTTCCACATGTAACATGGCCAACCCCATTAACACAACAGGGAAATCTGCATGAACTAGTAAAAGAAATAAGCAGGACGGCCCAGTACATCATAGATACCTGTCTTTATAAGAATTGTTTAATAGTTTTAACTCAGTCATTTAAAGAAAACGTTTAACATACATCCATTTTCTTAAGCGAATGAAAAAGGCTTTCAATGACTTGTGTTACATCTAAACATCTTTCAGTACCATAGAACTACATAATGCTTAGGGTCAGCTTATTACGATCCTCTGTGAACTCACACTAGAGAAAAATATTTCACAAGTTAGATGATAGAAAATGTAAATTCTGTATGTGTATGAGGTAAACCAGCTTTTGGAGATGATTTGAGCACGCATGTGTGTGAGTGTGTGTGTGTACGCACGCGTGCATGTGTGCGCGCACACGCCTGTGTGTGTGTGTATCTGTGAGTGTGTGTGTGTGCGTGTGCATGCAAGTGTACATGTGTACACATGCATATGTGTGTGTGTGTGTGAGTATCTTTTAGTGCGTCAGTGTGCATACCAGCATGCACGTCCAAACTCCTTGCAAAATTTTGAAATTTCACTTTGAAAAAGCCATGAACGACTCAAATTATCTTCATTTCTTTCACTTAGTATCAACTGTTAATCGAGTTATATTAAATGGCTTACAGCTTCGACTCTGAATCACTCACTGCCATAACCTCAGACAAATCACAGTTTCTTTTCAGGGCTGTCCAACTACTGCCCACCCACCAACATATGTTTTAGTAATCAACAAATAAAAAATTAGTACCCTGATTTAATTAAAGAGGTGTCAAGGACAGGGGTTGTAGTCATGTATCAACGTAACATAAACAAAGGTGTCATGAAAAAAAAGAGTTATTGGCTGGCTCATCATTGTGTAGTTAAGAAAAAAAAAGGGCAAGGGGGAGTTACTGCTATACACAAAAGAAATCTTTGGAACTGCTCGTATGTCACAATCTTTGATCCTGATTGTGCTTGACAGCACATCATACCACTCTCCTATCATAGCTAATTGTTTCAAGTATCAAACAATGATCTGTAAAAAAATAAAAAATCTCTCCTTGGCCTTGGCTGTCACGCACAACACAAAATGGCAGCAATTTTCAAACACCTTGTCAACCTCATGTTTGCCTTACTCCTGACTTTAACAGTTCTAAAGTCTAATGTTTTTCTAAGAGAAAAGTAGCACTGAGCGACTTCAAAGCTCAATGCACAGAGGGAATTACAGCTAGACAGCTGCATGTGACGTTGTGACTTAGGCTGTGCGAGTCTGATAGTTTTTCTTCCCTTCCACACTTGAAAAGTTGGCAGTGGGTTGGGGTTGCCAAATGACAAAAAATCAGAACCAGGGGTATTATGACTGTATTTTCATAAAGCTGAATACAAATCAACGACATTTGTAATGATGGGCAGCCCTGTCTTTTGTTACATTAAAACACTGAACTAGAAGTGCAGAAACAAAGATTCAGACACTCCATTCTGTCCTTTCAAAAGCTGATATCAATTCTGAATTTTGAATGTCTGCCTTTTAAACAACCTACTCCTCCTTACACAACAAAAGGCAAAACATTAACAACAACAAAAAATTTGATGAAATGAATAAACAATTTTTTTTCAGGCTTCAGCTTCCAATAATAAAAAAAAAAAAAGCACAAACATTTTATTGAGCAAAAACATCAATAAAGGAAAAAGAAACCCTGAAAACATTTCAATGATGATGTCAATTTAAAAATCCATCCACAAGGGGGGGGGGGGGGGGGGCCATCAGATTCCAATAGAAACAAAAAAGCGCAAACCTTTCATCTGTCTTTGACGAGGTGTCTCTGTCGTACACATGAGCTAGCCATGGAAATAGAACAATACCCCTGTAGCCGAATATTTTGTGTAAAAAAAGCTGAAACAGAGAAAGAGGCAAAAGAAATGTTTAAATATCGCAAGTTTATTTTTATGAGTTGAGATTCATGCACAATTGTGCTAACCCAACGAGAAAATATATTTGCATGAAAAAAAAAAAAGGTAGTATAAAATAGAAATTTCTATATTAAAACATGAAAAGTAATAGCTAACACAAAAACTAAAATATCTGGACATGTAAATTTAAAAAGAGTTCCATAAGAAGTCACACAGATTTAAAAAGAAAAGTGCTCTGTTCTATTTTGTATAGATGTAAAAAATTCTTAAACACCTAAAACATCTGTAAAAAAAAAAAAAAAGCAACCCTTGATGAATAAGAAAAAGGTCTTTTCACTTGATAGGTATCATTCTGAACAGGAGGTGCCGGAGACTAGTTTGAAATCCCACTGTCTAGAAAAATCCTTTACTTTCCGTTGTTTGAAGAGAAGTTTCCCCCCCATTTTGCTCTGCCCCATCAGAGAGATAAATGTTAATCAAAGGGACCCCCAAACCCCCTCCTCCCACCATACACTCTTCAATGACCTTATTGTAGTGAAACAGCTGTTCAATTCTACAACAGTCCCAATCTATAATCATGCAGATACTTGAGGGAAGGTGCAACAAAATTTGGGCTCCATTTTTAATTTGACATACATGCAACATTTGCCATTATAACTGTCTTTAGTGTAATTAAGGGTAGTAGATAGGGATTTGAATGGACATCATTCCTGGGCAACTGAGAGGAATATTAAGTGAAGGTCCCTTTTCTTCTACACTACTTTTACACATTACACAACTGCTCCATTTCGTAAGATTTTAATACTAAAAATACTAAGGGTGCCACATTTTTTAGACTTATGGCGTTCAAATTTCCTATGATGTCTTTACAAACATATTGCAACATTTTGTCAACAATAAAAGCAGAGGCTTTTAAATTTTTGGGTCTGAACTAAATATTTTTATTAACCCCCCCCCCTCTGTTCGTTGTTTAATTATATTTAGTGTGCCAGGTTGCGTTTAGCAAGGGCATACTACGCCCTGACGACTCAAGTCACCGACGGTACTGTAAATGTTAAGTTTGATTAATTTAGTGGCTGTGCAGTTTATGATACTCATAGTACAAATAGGTCATATATAAGAGCCTAAGATTAGAAGTGTTACTAGCTAGAGAGCTACATTCAAAGCAAAGAAAGAGAGATAAGGGTGATAAATGATAGACAGGAAAGAAGGGGCAAACCACACCAGAGCACCCACCAACCACCCACATGCAGATACTGATATAATAGAGAACCTTGACCAATGACAAGATCTTACTGATAGACTGACCTGTCCCGTGTCGTAAGGTTTGCCGTGTTCTCTTGGAGGTTCAAGCACTCCTACCTCAGCGAGGCTGCAAAAAGGACAGAAAAAACCCAACAATATAACATAAGACATTTGAAGAAAAAAGTTAAGAAGCAACAAGTCCTTAACCTGTCCTTTCAGAGATCAAACTAGGTAGCAAAGAATCCAACAAATAAATCCAATAAATCGTTTGCAGGCTTTTCAACTGTTCTAAGCCAAGAACAATTGTTTTTGTTTTAGTAAAAGTTTTACGGCACTTGCAACACAATTATGTCATAAGTGCCAAAGATTAGGGGTGTTACAAGAGAGTTACAAATACAAATATGAAGGAGGAGAGATAAGGACAATAGATGTTAGATATGAAAGAAGGAGCAAACATCTTTTCTAGCTTTTATTTAACATTTTGAATTTGAATTTCTACAAAATACTCCTTGAGCCAATGGGACCGATATCACAGATGAAAAAAAATGGTAAAATAAATTTCTTTAAAAAATACTGGGTTTAGTACATCTAAACAGCTGGCTGTTGAAATGCAACACAAGCTGGAAAGCAATAGAAAACTAGACAACCTTCCCAGCCTTTGAAATCGCCTGTCAGAACTAAACGTAGGAAGAACAATCCATAAAATAAATTAGATATATAAAACCTCTCATTGGTAGACTAAATAACAAAGAAAAAAAAAAGTTTCATAAAATATTGAACAAGGTTCTGTGATAGTAGACAATATTCACTATAATCTATTCTTATCCTTCCATAACCAGGAGGCCTGGTCCAACATTTGCTCAATTCATATCATGTTTGGCTACAATGCAAAGGACTCTAGTTCCAATCTCCAACAGAATACACTTTACTTGAATTAGGGTTTGTTCAGGGAGTTTTCATTCCCTTTCAAATACTTGGCTTAGTCCAGTTGGAGTAAAATTGGTGGTCCTGCCTCTTCACCATTATAAGAGAGTTGAAAGAGTTGCTAATGCAAACTGTATTTGCAGATAACTGTGCACTAAAAAACAAAAAACAGAACAAACAACCCCCCCCCCCCCCCCCAAATAAAACCAACCCTCAAGCACAACAAGACCTTAATGAACAAAAAAACCAAAAAAAAAACCCCTTAAAACGGGATTGCTTTTCACTTCGTTATTATCATTCTGAGCAAAAGTGCAACAGACTAGTTGGAATCCCCACTGGAAAACAGTAACTTAATATAAAAAATCTTTCAAGCTGTAACTTTATCACTTATAGCTACAGAACTGTTTATGACTGTTATGACAGCACAAGACATACACTCGGAGGTGAAGGAAGGCTGGTTTGAGTCATTGTTTTGTTTGAGTAAAGAGAACCACATCAACAAAATAATGGTCATTAAGTGCTGGGAAAAAGTAAGACAGATGGACAGTAACAATAGAGGGAAAATAAAGAAGCAGGATCTACCAATGGTGAACTCCAACCACCTGCTAGGAAAGCTGGACTCGCAGGCATTTACCTTGGCACTAAACTCTAGGGGATTATCAGAGCTCCCTATGTCTAAAAGAGCCTGTAAACATGACCACCCATCGCCGAAGGAAAAAGTGATCATCTTAGACAGGTGGTCCTTATGTACAAGGTCATTAGAAAAAAATGTGCGGGAAGAAATGGGAAGTGGTCGTTTGTTGTACAGGTGGTCTTCTTGAACACATTCAACTGTACACAGATATTGGCGTACTTCAAAATTTTACACGATTAATTTTGCGTAGGCCAAAGGAGGAAAATTACTTTGATAAAAATTGAAAGAAGAATTAAAACAAAGCTGAAGGTGATTGCCCTTACTCTTCTTTAAACAGAAAAATCTTCACCAATTTCACCACTTTATTTGGTATTTGTATCACATTTTAAGTTCAAACGAACAAAGCATATTATTTCCATAGAAAGAAAAATGTAATTGTAAAAGATTTACACCTCATCACACTTTTAGATCATTTAGGAGGAGGGCTTCCGACTCTGCCCGTCAGGACCAATCCGGGCTGAGAGGGACACAACATCCCAGCAGAAAAAACAGAGATACTCAATAAATACTTTCTTCCCACATAGGAATCGAACTTGGGTCTCCTGCGTGCAACAGCGAAGCATCTAACCGCTACATCACAGACACCAATTTATTACCACAAGTTTTTTTTTTACCTTTCATTATAAAAGCAATAGCACATGTGTTCAGGAAAATATATGTCCCAAGTCACAATGGCACTACAGACCATGACTGCCATTTTATAAAAACATCTACACAGCTGTTACCAGTCTGTTATTTAAGAGCAAGGGAGAAATCTAACACAAATTTTGCAAAATGGGCATTATTACACGGGGCAGAAATACAACCACAAATTAAAAAAAAAACAACCCCCACCTAAATAAGTAGTTTCCTTGTCTTTTTACCTATGCCAGCGATTTCTGTTTTAGTAAGCATTTTAAAGCTCTTGCAACATAACTAGGCAGGTCATACGAGTTCCTTGTTATTGCAAGTGAGTAACAAACACAAAAAAGGAGAGATATAATAGATGATAGGAAAGAAAGAGCAAATCCCACAAAGAGGAGCACCTGCCAACCACCCACTAGAGCTTTTCACATAATACCAATGCTTTCTCTTTTTCTTAATATTATCCTTTTGGATGTCTCTTATAAATAAAGCAACTCCTGTGTTTCTTTTCAACATCATTCTCAAGCCTAGTACTACAATATTAAAAGATAATGATAAATATTACTGGAATGATAGTGACTTTCCGCAAACCCCTTTTTTTCTTTTCATCTGTAAATACTTAATTAAAGAGCATCAATGTTTAAGAGGATCCTCAACATTTGAGAGCTACTGCACTTAACTCCAACTTAAACAGGATACCTAAAAAACAAGAACTAACAGAATCAAACAAAACATTGAGGCAGGTTCGGAATTAAACAAGAAGGCATAACCTTCACTCATTTCTTTGTACTTTCTTTGGTCATATATGACCTTGGCATTGGATACTATAAAAAAGTTCAATGGACTGTCAACAAAAAGTGTACATTGCATTATGGTAAATAAACAACATAGCTTTGCCTCCAACTGCAGCTGCTAGTTCTCAGAACTTCCAGTAAATGGGGCAATCATTTTTCATATTTTTACTGTGCATATTTACAACTAAAAGAACAATTTATGGGCTCAAAACAATATTGCTCCAGGCTTGCAATGGCTTCAAAACCCAGTCAGCGACACCCAGTGCTATAATGTCAGATTACAATACAAACAACAAAATTACATCAAGAGGACTGATTTTTGGTGTAGTGTGAGTCCCCCTAAAAGTCACTTGATAGTTGAAAAGTTCACAACTTGCAGAATTGGCAACAGAGAATTCAAGACAATCATTGACCTCTACTTATTCACGTTTTCAGTATAAAAAATTATCAGCTTGACATTCACTGACATGGCTTCACAACCAAAAATCATTTAATTTAAAGCATGAGGTACAGTACATCAATGTAAAAGGTAGTAAAAGTTCATTGTCGTTTAATTTTTTCTTTTAGCTATTTAAGTTAAACAACAACTCCTTTTTCTATATCTATATATTTATGCAAAAAACACAATTTCACACGACTTATTTATCCTTTGTTGTCTCAGCTACTTTTGTTTTCAAAGCTATGACTTCAAAATACGAAAAAAAAGGCTAGTTCCATATAGTTGCTAAATATTTTCCCCTTGAAGTGGAAAAATGGTAAGGGATAAATGACTTGTAAATATAAAGATAAACTTGGCAATTGGGTCAGTTTTGCCCTTCGGTCAGGCAAAAAATTAGTTCACATGTAAATTAATTCTGAAGTAGGAAAATATGAGCTATGAGAAAAAAAACACCAAATAATATTTGGAGATACGGGAAGGAAGATTTTGTCCTCCTTCTGTGATCTGCTCGTCAGAAAAATGTGAAATTTAATGTTTTAATCAACACTACTAAGTTATCTAAGTAAAACATCCATCTCCGAAAGGACCAAGCAAAATAGGAAATTCGGGTAAAGTGCTTTTCCGAATGACACAGCGTTGATCTGCCAGTTTGATTCAGTAAAAGATAGCTGACTATGTAAAAGAAAGAGAAAAGTTTCAGCATGGGGGTACAGTGATATCGCTTTCACTACAAATCCCCTCACCAACGTCTCACCATTTTGGTGCGCACCAAAGAAAGTGAGAGGAGGGAACAGAGTGGAGTCACTTTCTCCTTCCCTGTCACCGCCAAGATGGCGACAGCCTGAGTCTGCTAAAAATGTTGTGAAGGCAATTACAGTCCTTCATAACTTTATACTAATTCATGAGCCTCATCAATCCACGGTGATCGTAAATGAAAAAAATGAGGCAACTCCAGAATCAAATTATCACAACATCCATACAACCGGTACAAGAGCTACTCAGAGTGGAATGCAAATTTGAGAAACATTAATTAATTTTTTCAATTCAATTCTAGAGATGGCTCTATTCCGTGGCAAAATATTGTGTGCTTTAATACTCAATTAAATTAGACTAGATGTGCAGCATTTTGAGCAGAAAGGTATCACCATAGTCCATTTTCAGATTTCAATTTTAATGCAAGCAACAACCGACAACATTGACAACCATATTTCTGCTTGTGTGTGCAGGTGTTCTGTAGTTGTGATCAGGCTTGTCATAAACAGAAATCTTCTTTGTACAACAGCAATTAAAACCTCAGGTTCTATTTTCATTGATCAACAATTGTTGGGCACCTGGTGTGCCAAGGTGACTGGAATTTCAGTGCAGCACTAAGTCAGCAGGCCCCAATTATTTTTGGTGCACAGTTGGTGAGGGTGTGGGGAGAGAGAACGATTTCCATTCTGTCTCATCCAACTGTAATGGATTGAATTTCAGTGTCGGCAAATGGGTCACTCTTTGGTGCTGGTAGGGGGATGGTGCAGTGAAAGCAACTCCACACTGCCCGCACACTAACTCTGCCTGTCAGGGCCAATCTGGATAGAGTGGGACACAACATCCCCGCAGACAGACATGGAGACACTTGCCCACTTTGGAATGAAGCCTACATCTCCTGCATGCAACAGCAATTACAGTCTAACCGTTACAATACAGATGCCAGCACATGAGAAAGCGTGGGTACTATCAGAGGAAAAATATCTTATTAAAATTATTCAAGTCAATTCATTAAAAAACAAAACAAAAAAAGCTCTTAAGTAGAGCACTTTTCCGCATGCAATTCAATTCAAACTATTCCAAGAAGACCTGAAACAATAATATTACAAATGCAGGAAGTTCTCTCCAATAGACCTATGGGCTTGATCTCATATGTGTAAATCTGTTTTGAAAAGTTCATATTCATAATTTTTGTTCAGCACCAGCAAGTCTGTGAGAAGCAATAATAGAAAACAGAGAGAACATATTTTCCTACTGCACAAAAATATTACTTACTAATTAATAAGATGAATATTTGGAGTGATTTTCTTTTAGTCAGAACACAACGTTTTATGTTACTGTTGAACATTGAATTGTATTGTAAAGCATTCAGAGCCTGTGTACTTTAATCGGGGCTGTGCACTATATAAATGTCATTTATTATTTTTTCACATCAACTGACATAGCTGGAGCACTTTAAAATTAGGCACAGTTAAAGTTCTGTCGTTAATGAAATGCATTTCACATCAAATTTACTATAAGTACCGTGTGTATCAACATCATCGTGTGCAGGACACAACCTAAAAATTGGGGCTTCAAAGTCGCAAAACGTCTTATCTCTGAGTAACAAAAATTAGACACACGCAAAAAACCCTAGTGTGGGCTGACAAAGGGAACAAACTCCTTTTGTTGGGTGAACCGTAACCAGTAGTCTATTTATGTCTCACATTGGGTGTTCTTCTATTTGGGAGGCTATCATTTACTGTGGTAGTCCAGCATGAAGTTCGCTCAGTGTTGCCAATAAAATCAACGATTAACTATTGCAATGAAGATCTTTAAGACTGCTGATGAAAACTAGGTTAGTAAAAAAATTAAAATAAGATTTTCTTTTCTTTTGAAAAGTGTGATTATTAATGACAAATCCAATGTCAAGGGTGGGGGGTGCTTACCATGAGTAAGTTGGTGCATCTTATAGGATGATCATGACATCATTAGACTTTAATATAATATTATAATTCTATGTATTCCAAAATTAAGGCTCTCAAGTCTCCGAGTTTTATCCCCCCGATGCATGCCTACAGAGGCGGTACATTAACAGGGCAAGACTGATGGAGCCGGTCACTTTTTATCAGCTGGACAGTGGACAAAAGATTTTTTGCAGCAAACAATTTCAATTCAGTCTCAATTAAATCTTAATTGATATTTATTGTCAACATCCAAAGAGCACTTTGTCGATTTGAAGGCACCCAAAAAAGACGATAGGGGTTCACTGATAAGTTGTTGCACTACAGATTTTAATTCCTTCATCTCGGTTTTTATTAACGGTGGCTCGCAACTTTGTTGTCACAGTCTCCTGTCGCTACAAACAACTTCATGCGTACACCACTTTTCTTGCCAGAGATTTTACAAAATGCCCTAAGGTCACATAGAGGGAGCATCTGGTTGCCAATTTGGCTGCTCAGTTACTTACTCTATTGAAGGATAAGACTATCTAATAAAATACATTGTATATCATCAGTAACTTTATCAGCAAAACTGTCTCAAGTTACTGTCAGGACAATATTGTCAGCATGCCTTTAATTTGTATTGCCTACAGATTTTTGGTCATACACATGACCCCTTCAAGTAGACTAATGTTCACTGCACTAAATCATTCTCGCTTGACCCACTGCTTTGTTTCCTGGAATATACATGACCCCTGTTTCGTCTGCAACTTTTCGTAGCCAATGAAAATGCAGATAGTCCACTGATTGGTTTGCTCGCTAGTCGTATTTCAGCTGCTTCGTTCTTTTTTTAAAAAGTGGTTGTGGTGACGGGAAACTTCGCCAGTCCTTGAGGGGAAATTCGCAATACTTGGAGGTCATCTTATTTCGTTATATAAGATTATTAAACACATGTAAAAACTGATCTTTCGTAAAAGGGAAACCTGCATTTGCAGCTGCAATCATTTAATCAACAATTTTATTTCTCCCCCTCCCAGCCCTCATTCCCAAAGTAGATTGACCAGAGACATGGTCGGCAAGAGGTTTTTTGGGAACACTAAATGCTCGGGCTGCCCCAGAGCAGCTTTGTCCACCTTAAACAGCTTTCTCCAAATCACTTTATAAAGTTTAAGTGTATACTTGCTATTGATTCCTTTGCTTGTTTTCCCCATAATAAAAGTGGTAAATCGAAGTAAAACAACAAATGGAAAAATCAATAGACCTGCATGGTGAAGTTCCCAGACAATAGAAGCAAATTTCCCTGACAAGGTGTAGATCTGTACAAACATAATTTTTTAACAGTAAAAGGGCATACAATGAATACAACCGATAATAAAATGCAGCAAATATAATATCTTAATCAATGAAGCAGTTTCAACACAATTTGAGCAAAAAGGTATGTACAGCAACGGCAGTAAGCAGTAGACACAGAAAGATAAAAAATACAATCGACCTCTCACCCCGGGTGAGACTTGTCAGTGTTGGCTATTCTCACCCGGAGTGAAACAACTGTATCTGTTTTTCCTAATTTCTGAATACTGTCTATTGGTGTAGATGATCAAATTGACAAAAACAAAGAAAAAAATGATGTTATAGCACAAAAAAGTAAACTGATTTGGTTGTTCATGTACAAAGATGCTACGGCTATTCTTTTCTAATTGAGCTGAACTACAGAGATCGCCATATTGTTTTTCCTAGAAATTTTCGCTCCTCCCCCCCCCCTCTCTCTCACTGTCCACAGACAAAATAGTACGCTTTCAACACAAGAGCGTTGGAACGTATGTTTACACTGGTATCACGGTGAACACACACCAGGTGAGAATAGCCAAAAGGCTCGCCTTCTCACCCGCAGTGATCAGCCTGAGTCGATGCACTAAGTGGTGAACACACACACCGGGTGAAAATAACCAGAAGATTTGCCCTCTAACCCTGGGTGAGGGCCCTACAACTGGGCTAGATCTATTCTGAGGTGGCCTTTTTAGACAATCCTGTCTCACTCTCAGTAGTAGTCTGACAAATGAAACGACTGCTCATCTTTATCTTCTTGTTTCAAGTTTGTTTACTTCTCACTTTGAGTCAGTACAGTGTTTGGACTCAAGCATAGTTCAAAATGATGAAACTTTCTCATGAGAGTCGTGAAAGAATCATCATAAAGCATTTATAATATAATAAGTTAAAATCACATGAAGCTACAGCGAACACCTAGCTAGTACATCTCTGTGACTGGCCCTAATATAGATGACGTATATTTCAGCCATCTATTTTTGTCATTTTCAGGGGTTTCCACCAAGACTCTTGGGTTTCCCTCGCCAGTAACTGTTGAAGTTAGATCTCACCGTGTTAAAAAAAATTAATTAATTCGCGTCTTCTTTTAAAAACTATCTCAGCAATTCTATTTCCATAAATTTACCTTCCCTCAAAGTTGTACACCCCCACACACACACACACACAAGCGTGTACGTGCACACACACAGTACAGCCCATGCAGTCGTCAATGAAACCTAGTCACGACTGTGACGTAGCCCCTCCCACTGCAAAGGCTAAGCAGGCCCATCACGGTGAGATCTAGATATATCTAGATCTAGTGAACTGGCGAGGGAAGCCCCGGAAGATGACAAAAATAGATGATGGAAGTACATCATCTAGATATCTATAGGCCTATTTGGGCCAATCACAGGTCAGAGGTGTGATAGCCCTGGGCCCTGGCCTGTGCCCGCTGCTGCGCTGGTCACAACTTTTTTGTAATAACAGAGAGGTCCTCTGTCGCTCATGTGCTGGACTCATCAGACTTTTCAACAGAACTACATCTAGGCCCTAGTCTAATGACATCATGTCATGATATATGTCATAGAAACATAGAGAAAATAGATTACGTGCAGAGGCAAAACCAAAACAAACAGGTTGAACAAACGAATTTTACCTGGTTGAAAGACATCGCAGGCATGCTCTTTGGATTGAAGAATGCAATTCTGTTGCTGAAAGCAACCCACGTCTTAATATTCCTCTAATTACAAACATTTTAGACAGTGGGTTGCGGGCAAGGGAGGGTCTTTAAACTTTTACCACTGTAGGTCGTCTCTCCGACTAGCTGCTTGTCTTGATCTACTGTGACTGTGAAGTGTGAAAGTTGATATTACAACCTGAAGAAATCGAATGTCATTTAGGCCTAGGCTATTTATAGTACATGTATTTAAAAAAACAGGAATCAGGAAAAATATCAGGATTTGGCCTTCGTTAATGAAAATGTGAGCTGCTGAGGGCATAATCTAAGAATAAACAGACAGACTGTTGAAATAACCGCAGTCCTCATTAAGCCGTTAATTGCACTTTAATTGTTTAGAGCAATCATTATTAATTTGATCTACTGCTTTCTTACAGAAACAGAGATGAAAATCCGATACTATTTTTGCATCGAGCATCGATTATAATGTATCGGGGTTTCAAAAAGATAGACTAATGATTAACGATTACGATAAAGATGGCCGCTCATGAAGACGACGACTTTTGTGATGATCAGCTGGAATCTTTACTTTCATTTCCTCCAGAAGTTCAAGAAGCCATTGAGCAGGTTATAATGAATAATGAGACTAAATCTGCTGCATTTTGTTTGCCTTATGATTAGGCCTAGCCTAGTGGGGGCTCATGCAGAGCGCTAAGGCTAAGCGCAAGTGCACCGGTTCTCGTATTCGTGGATAATATAGACTCTATCAGCTATTATTATTGACACACTTGAGCCGGCCTCTTGATCTAGATCTAGATCTAGATCTAGATCTAGATGTAGATGTAGATTTCTAGATCTAGATTAGATCTAGATCTAGATATCTAGACAGATATTATTGAGTGGGCCACCTCTATTCTCACCCTGGGTGAGAATAGTGCAGGCGAGTCTTTTGGCTATTCTCACCCGGTGTGCGTTCACCGTTATAGCCTAGATCTAGGCCAACCAATTTTGCGTTCACCCTAAACCACATAATTCTACACTGTGATAACAGAAAAATTGTAGAATTCTGTGCCGTGAACAAACGTTCCATTACAACTGTAGCCTACTAAAAGCGTACAATTTT